ACCGTCTTGTGCATATATCTATATGTTATGCTGGGAAGGTGCAGAAGGAAGGTGTTGGGTGGTTGGTTCGTCGGGTGTGCTATCGGTGGCACCCTTATGGGATTCATCTTTGGTTTTTCTATGTGTAACAATCAGTTGCAAATCTCGGACAAACTTGGGTCCCACATGATGGTAGAACCTTGAAGGCTGTCACCCTTACTCATTTTGAACTCCGCCTGTGTGTGTGGGTGAGCTTGCTCTCACTCAGGTTAGACACATCGCGAGACATCATCAATGCAAACGGCGAGGGTTTCAAGCAGCAAAACGAGAGCAGCGCGTGACGGCGAGAAAAGGACAAACAACTTGTCGAGCAAAAAAAGTCTCTTTTCGTGGAGGCGCGGAGATGCTCTGCACATGGGTTCCCGTGCCGGTTGAGAGTTACTGTACATCGTTTCGTTCCGGCTCCCTCGTGAACCCAGCCTGAACCATGTTTGCTCAAGACTCAGAACTCAAGAAAATCCCCATACAACCATGGTATGGTACGGTACATAGGAACACTTCCAAACTGTCAATAAGCTTTCAACGCCACAACTCTTGCGTCAGGTATGCGCATCACTCAACCTCTCTCTGCATTTTTAACTCCAATAGACTATGTTGTAGAGCAGACTTCCATCGTTGTTCAAAATCAATTTGTACATTAGATTATAGATGTAGCGCTGTGGGGTTTCATTCTTGGCCGCGAGGCGTGTGGTGCTGAAACCGTCAAAGTGCTGACTGACCGACTGACCGACAACAGCGGCGGGAGGAACGCCCAGCCACACGCGTCTACACTCGGTACGGAATTGTGCCATAGAACGCCATTGCACAAGGACATGAGCTCGCCACCGCAGTACCAGGTACGATTCATGACCCTTTGTCCACCCGTGTCTGGTGAACACGAGAGACAGACATTATGAATCGTCTGCAGTACGTATACACGCGTTTTGCCTTCACGCGCGAGGGGTGCAAAGACGGCACCAATCATACTGCTGCAATCATTTTGTGTCATTGTCGTCGATCGACGCGCCACGGCGCAGTTGTGCTCTTAGCACTACAACTTTACATACATTGTTCAGAGAATATTTTGCCCGCGTGGAAGGCGCCAACACGCTGCCTACTGGATGTCGTGAAGAGCCTCCACATTCCACAACCCGATTCCGATGCACAACAGAGGTCTTGTACGATGTGTGATGTTACATACAGTAGTTTATGCAGAGTTTCTGACACACATTGTACCATGTGTATACCACATATCTAGAAGCAAGACACGAGAAGCAAGACATACATGTGAACTTTCACGGGTAGTTATGTTTTGTTGTGTTTATTGAAAGACATCCATATCATTGTGTGCCCGATGTTGGAAATTGCTTACTGAGAAAATGTATGCGTTAATTCAATCCGGCTCTGTGTGTAGGTCCCTGATCTGAAATTAACAAAACACCCTAACCAAAAAAAATAAATAAAAGACGCTATGGATTCATTGCTAATCTATCTTAGACTCTTTATTCTCAGATAGAGATGGATTCATTGTTGTGTCATATTAAGAAAAAACAAACAAACAAACAAACCAAAACAAACAAACAAAGCAAACAAATATTTATTCTTATCCGCCGGACAACGAAGTAGGCACAAACAAACGCGGGTGATCACAGGTAACCTTGGCCTTCGTGTGTACACGGTAGTCTCAGTTGTTAATGGGTTGATATTTAGTTTGTCTTTAGTGCACTTTACGAATTCTGCGTTCCTGTCAACCACCGCCCGCCCAACACATTACATGAGGACGCAGCAACATCAGCAGCAAATGATGAGCGACCCGCACCACGGCACGTCTCTGTGTCGGTTCGACGGGGTCCAGCACAGTACTCTCTGCCAAAAACGGATAATGTGAGCAGTTCATTTTTAAACGTCCGCCTTGAATAATGTCGCACTTCGTTCCTCGACTGTCAATCAATGCGATAGCTGGATTCCGTTATTCTTGCTGTTTTCTCGAGTATAAGTTTCGGCTATAGACTACTTGGGAGTTCTCTATTCTGAAGTCCATCATCCTGCAGGTTGTTTATAGATCTCAGAGTTGACCCAATCCACGCAACCACAAAAAGGCGTTTGGCCGAACTCGTTTCTACCTGCCTCCCCGCGCTCGCGGCTATCCACGCTTCGCATGATATCAACAATAACAGGCTTTACCTTGCGAGATAAGTCGACCATAAGACAGACTTATTATCCGATCTTCACTTCTGAGTAAAGCATAGCCAGAGTTCTGGTCATCTTGCACTTCCGAGAGTAGAATAACTAGGAATGCTGCTGCTACAAGTTAGGTAGCATTTTTTGTGCGAGAGTAGTCGTTATTAATAGCAATCAAACCAGTGTGATTCTGCTCAATCTCGAAAACGTACAGCGATCATCCCGAGAGGGACACACTCAACAAGATGTCTGATTGTCGCCCTTTTCTGCTTGCGTTTCTGCGATCACGAAACCGTCTAGGACCCCATCAGATCAGGCCGCAGCCTTTCAGACCGAACACTCAAGCATCCCGCTTGTGCTGGTGCCAAGGTGGCCGATATTGTTTCACTTCGCACTCAACGTACCGAGCGGAGTGTATGTCATGTGAGACCCCTGGTTCCGCGGATGGACAGGTTGAACACTCGGGACGGTACATGGGTCCCAGCCCCGTTGTACAGCTGTGAGCTGCCTGCCACCTATATTGGGAGGGGGCGGAAGAGAAAGCTCTACGAAAGAATAACAAGGGTCGGAAGACCTTCGGTCGGGGTATGATCAGTCACACGTTTTTCTACAACACTAGGGAGAGCACTGCAACATCAGGATACACCCACAGGCACACCTTGTGTGAGCTACTTGCGACGGCTGCACAGTGTACAGGTTTCGGTTCTGATACGTTCTCGGTTTGTGGGCATCAAGATGAGATGGAGATGCCGAAGGTACACACACATGGCCACCGATAGCTCTGAATACATAATCTTAGGTGTATTACCAGGCCACTGAGTAAAACAACCAATGATTACTGAGACACCTCCGTATATCGTCAGTGGCATTGTACCACCACTCTAGGAGCAGCGGCATAGCGATGCCACGCTGGAAGCGATGCCGCATCGCGCGTATCTATGAATATAACACTTCAACAGTTACAGAGCTAGGCGCCATCAAAATATCAGATTTGCCTACAGCTCGTAGTTGTCTGTGCTCAAAACACGACTTTCAGAGTGTTGATCTTTAAACGGAGCTTCCCTCGTAGAAACCATGCGTAAGGCCTTTAGACAATATGCCTGGCCTCATCTCGGTACTCCCCCACTACCCCTGGTGTCGCAACGAAACCACACAACGCAGGTACCAGAAGTGGCACCGGGATGAAGGCGAACTGTCCGCCGGAATCAAATGGTAAAAATATTGTTGAGGCCTGCTTTATGTACTCTCAGTCTGTACGCGATACAAACGTTATATCTACCACGCTTCTTGTCGACAACCCGTGATGGGGTAGAACCTCCGGTGAGCTTCCGTTGTCCGGATATGCCCTTCCAACAGGGAGAGTTGGTCCTGGTATCGTAGAAGAGGTTTCTTGACTGTTTTGCTTGCGGAACAACGGCAGATGTCTACCTACATACAAGGAAGTGCGAAAATTCTTTCAGTGTTTTATCGCGTCTGGGTTGTTTGTTCCGGGATTCCCCCGGAACAGAGGAACAGAGTCGACATGTGTTCTGACTTCAAGCGAAACTGATACGCTCTTTTCTGCTTTTGTTGGTGCATCGCGAATCACCCCAGGTTTTGGCCCGGGTGGTATCGCATCTCACACATCGTCACGAAGACCGCCATCACATGTTAGTAAACGCTGCAAACCACGCAAGTCGCTATACAAATAACATGTGCGACAGTAGTAGCTTGTGGTTCAGCTTTCGCAGCGTTGCTTGATGTGGGCGTCGCACAATGAGCCGTGCTTCCTATCGTTGGCCTTCGTCCTGTTGAAAGGTACAGTGAAGCACACGTGTACGTGAAGGGTCGTGTACGTATTGCGCGATTCTCCGGTGTATCTCCTTGCTTTGGGGCCCACCCCTTCTATTCCCTCAGATACTCGTATCGTGTTCTTCCACCTTTCCTGTCGACACTGCAGGCGTATAGAAATGTCGGTTGTAAGGGATATCAGCTAATGTTCGCTCACGTGTGAATCCCTCTACTGTACCGATCCCCTACCCAAGCCAGCACCCCCCGTTCGTTGCTTTTCGCCGCACTGGTCCTCTTACCCCTAGTACAGACAATGCCCCCACGTACAACGTCCCGACCAGCGACAACGTCTTTGTGAACGTCAACCTGGGTGAGAGAGCATTCTACTTCTCCTTACGATGCGTGCAGCTGTATAGTGCTCTCTCCGTCTCTCTCTCTCTTCCTCGTGTTGCGATGTCGCCGGTGTTCCTTCACAGCAATATCCCAACCCACCTTTTCCACTTTTTCATGCTCCGCATTTCCGCGTAGTAGGGTGGTCGTTTTTTTCGGCAAAGAGAGCCAACCTTCTCCGCACGCCACACAAAGCACACGCCTAGTCGACGTGCGCAGGCTAAGAAGAAATACCTGCGACCTAGATACTCACCTACAGAGGAGGCCTTACAGAACAAGAATACACTTGTGAGCTGTACAGCTAAACGCAACATTTCAGAAACAGAGTGGAGGTAACGCCACTACTTTGTGGTGGCAATGTTGCTTCGCTCTTCGTGAGCATCTGAGCTTGTACAAGTTCATGATCTCATGATGTATTTGTTCGGTACACCAGCGCTCTCATGAATGTAGATGTGTGTATAGTAGGAGCGACGGGCACTACCTTTTTCAATCGCTTTCTTGCAAATACGCAGCGAACGTAGATGCTTTTCGTGCTTGTCAAATCACAAGCACCACCCGCAAACCCACGACACGCAGCACCACCCCGGCGACCCACTCAATCCCTCCCCGACACACCTGGTACCCCTTCCGTTGTTTCCTCGATGCTCCCTGCTCGCTTACCTACGGGGCGTGCGTTGGATCGCTGCCCATCGTGCCCGGTTCAACCAACCGGCGGAGCAGCCCTGACGTTCCGCATCGGTCCAGACTTTGACTCTGCGCGGGAGTTCGTGTACAAACTCGGCCCCCAGCGACTCGACGAGCTGCTCTCCGCCAAAGTGGTAGGAAATAGAGAGAGAGGGAACAGAGTAGGAGACCGCCGAAACAAACCATTGGGTATTTGGAGGACGCAAGGAACCGACTTCGCACGAACCAAACACGCCGAGCATTATGCCGTTCGGCAGGGGGAGGGGGGGCGGTCTCGCGGCATAGTCTTGTGTTAGGTCAAAGGCCATTGGTGGCGTACTTGTGTAGGTCGTGTGTGAAGTTATGAAAGCTTGGAAAACTGTACCTGTTCCCGCCGCTGGTCCATTGTGTGTTTGAAAAATGGTTTCTTCCAGCTCAACGCTGGCATATACTCAACACACATCCGGCGAATATCAGACAGCCAAGTCATGATTCCCGAGACGTGTTTGTCGGGTGGATTCGATAATGACGGGGCTGGTGTCTTGCGTCAATGAACGAATGGCATCTGTCAAAAGGTACATACGGTATTTCAGACTACGAAGTGTATCATAGGAGAGGTGAGGCACTGAACCGGGGTTGGGACGCGAGTAACAAACCTCGAGATGCGTGTTGAGAGGATTGCACGGGGCGTTAGATTACGCCCAAAAGAGAAAGTTCCTTCACCCCCTTCCCGGTCCCCGTTGCTTTCCCCGCTCCCATGTTCGCGTTACGGACGCGCGTTCTCGACGACGACGACAAGATCAGGACGAATCCATTCGCGGTTTGGTGTACACGGTCACCCATAATAAGGTGAGCTACCTCATTCCGATCAGCTATAGGTAGACTTCGAATGAGTCCCTTTCGCTTTGATTCACGCTGAATATTTTCGGCTGCTGGCCCTCCCGTTCTCGCGATCCTTCTGCGCATGGGGGTCGTGATCTCTTCGACCATCGTCATTGTTTTCTTGATCTGTGCCCTCCCCCGTACTGACTTGAAAATATATCATTTTCATTGCCCCGGTGGTCTCCGAGCTGCTGTCAAACTCTGCGCTCACTGGGGCGCGAGACCTGTTGGCCCGACTGGTTAAAATTTAGCTCGATCTTGGCGCTTCTATCGCCCTGATCGTGTGGATTGTTGCCAGAGGCATTTCGTAAAGTTCCTGTAGATTTCTAAAGCACAAGCTAGAGTAGAATCCGTTGGAGGGGGTTGGCAAGCTACTGATGGGGTAACCTCTGCTACATAGCAAAGCCTCCTGCCAAGTACACGAGAATCTTGCTTCAACCGTTGCGATCCAAACGTTAACCAATTCGTGATTCGGAAAGGTCCAAGGCGATTCGCCCGCCTAAGCAGGACCTTCACACCCTACGTAGAAAACACGTCACCTCTGTGAGTTGCTGATTTTATCACGCGCATTTCAGGTGAACGACTTGCGGGAGGAATTTGCGGGAGAAATGCTGGATGCACTGCGGGCCGTCCTCAGCATGTACGGGGTGCAAGTTATGAATGTGCGTGTTGTCATGGTTGCTGTGAGGGTGGTGCTTGCGGTACTGCGATTGATTGTCGTCGCGAGCTACATGTAACTCAACTCTCGATTAGTTTCAAGTTTACCCATGATGGAAGGGGTTTCAGAAAACCTTTCTGAGATGTCAAAAGCGAGGAACTCGATATCTCAGCCGATTAAGTACGTTGACGAAAAAGTGCAGGTCCAATACGACAAGCAATCCCATTGTAGGCTCGGCAGATCGGCGTTAGATTTCGTACATTATGTTGCAAACATATAGGCAGGTTCCTCAAGTGAGGAGCTTGAGTGAGAAAACCAGGGTCTGAATGTACTACCCTTCTAAGCATGACTCTTTCGGCGTAAAGGCAGCCCTTCTTCCTGCACTTGTGGGGGGGCAGACAAGCCACGTTTTGTCTCAATACTTCATCCACTCTGCGATGACCGGTTCCAAGCATTACTGACGGATGTTGAAGGGACAGGGCATCTACCTCTTGCTCTCGTCCACAACTTTAGATCAAACCAAAACTGCAGCCGTTTCGTTTGTTCGGGGCACAGGTCAAGATCACGGACGTGGCCCTGCCGTCGCAGCTGCAGGAGCGGCTGGAGAGAACGACGGCATATAAGACCAAGATCGAAGAACAGTGAGAAGACGCAACAAGCAACAATAGATCCGCCGATAGTCAATCAAGACTCACTTATCTTCTTCAGTTGGCGGGGACACAAGTATTGCTTTGTGTCGGCCGTTTTTGACGTCATGGTTGAGTCACAAAAAGACGGTATTGTGAGACCGCCACTGTCTGCGCGCTTGGTAGGCCTTGCACAGCCATTCTGCTTGTTTTTGCTGATCGCCTGCTACTCTATCCTGAGAAATTCTTTATTGATTCCTCGGCCCTCGCCTCGGTCACATTTTCAACCCTAGCCTTTAGCCTCAGGAGGCCCTGACTACGTTGTTACACTGCTGGGAAGCATCTGGGTCAACCCATCTCTAAACCCACCACCCGTATCCCTTGACGTTCCTCAAAAATTTGCAACACGTTGCCCGATCGTCCTGGTTCTTAATGCATGGTGGCGCGTCGCGCCACCCGTCGCCAGCGAGAAAGCGCACGAGAACCGCCTGACGGTGATCAGGGACACGGCGTTGCAGGAGATGACCACCCTACGACAAACCAACCTCCGCAGGCTCCAGGAGCTCAACGCCGAGATCCAACGCTTCGAGATAGAGATGAGGGAGATGGAAGAGGTTGGCCAGGCGTTTCTAGACTATTTCCCGGCCACAGCAGTCGTAGTATTTTACCGTGGACACCTGTGTGGCCCACCGTTCGCAAGATAACGCCCTGTATTCCTGTCTACCACAACGACGTTGTACGGCCAATAGCGGTAGCATGTGGACTGCATGTGAAACGTCGACATACTCCGAGATACTCCGGTGCAAGAGGGATGAGTGGGCCAGAGTAGCTTGCGCTTGGGGGTACAAGCCCTTCAGTGCGTACATACCGGAAAGGAGTTTTTGTGTCGGCGCCGAATAAAGAGTAGTGGTAGCTTTGACAAGGAACAAAAGAACACCGTTGCTGTACACCGCCGATTCTCGCGCGTTTTGCTTCCCCCTTCAACTACATACACATCCATCCACCGTCGCTATCCACAGACACGAACATATGCATGCCGGAGAAGAACAGCCCAGGCAGAAAACCGTTAAAGTATGTCTGATTTCGTCACGTCTAGCTGACACGCCCCCCTGCCCCCCCCCTTCTATCCAACGACGATGCCGGGATGGGCGGGATGCGTTTTTCCTTTCGGCATGCAAAAAAACTCTCTGGTGCACGCGCGCGCAGCTGGCGCGAGGGAAGGCCATCGTCAACGAGACGAACGCTCGTTCGAAGGCCGAAGTCGAGGTGCGGGTTTTTGTACTCGTTGACTCGTTTGTGATGGTGGTCCAACGGCCATGAGTGAGGCTAGATCAAGGAGGCGTGCTGAAAAGAATCAACGTCGTTCGAAATAGTGAGCATCACACGATGCCCGTTCTTCATTTGATTGTCTTCGCCACCCTTCTGATTTGTGCACAGCCTCCATCTGTATCAACATCGGTTCGGCCAGCAAGATGGTACGAATCCTACCCCTTGCCAACACGGACCTTACACAAAGCCACTGTACGAACACAGACTTGTTTATCTCGAAGAAATGTATCTCCTAACCTCATCACGGGGGTGGATAACCCTAGCGGGCTGTTACTTCCCGGTCTCACACGGGAAATGACGCATCTCGCACAACACGGTTTGATTTTTTCCACCCTCTCAAACCGCGGGCTGGCTCTTGGCTTAACTTCGCGAGAAAAACCATCAGATCACGAACAAACGTGCTCTCCATGTGCAACAACACGTGTTGCCGCCAGCCGTATCCCCACCCCACCCCCGGCCGGGCATGTACCGCCTATGTTGTTCGGACGATATAAATAATCAGATCACGCGCGCCCGAGGTAGTGAGGAGGCGGCCAAGATCGACGCTCAGAAGGAGGCCGAGGCCCGCGTTCGCCGCGCCGAAATAGAGTCCGAGGCCGCCAGGTATGATGCAATTTGGTGGGATGATCAGCCTTTTACTGGAAGCCCCTTTTTCCGAGATCGTGCGATGGGTTGTCATGGGCCACATCACTGGGTGCTTACTCGTTTCGTCCACTACATGATTTCGCGTTGTTGTCAGAAAGCAACGATTGCTCTGATCCTACATCGGTGTGCGGGAATCGAAAACAACGGCATTTCCCATCCACAGGTTCAGGGTCACAGGGTCCCACATAGCAGAAGAGGACGCCTCGGTGAAACCAAGCTCCTTGTGAACGTCGTACTTTCCACAAACAAACGCAACCTTTCCTAATAAACCGGCAGGACGAGAGCGGAAGAAGCGGCTGAAGTGGCGATCCTCGCATCGCAGGCGGCTCTCGCCGCCGCCTCTAACAAGGCCAAGGGGATGGTGGCAGAGGCCGAGGCCGAGATGAAGGCCGTAGCTAGCCTCGCCGAGAAGAGGAAGTTCGAGCTGGAGTGGAAGCGTCTCGAGGTGTGAAACCGTCCCGGGCCCCCGTGCCGTTGTGGCTATCGTCGTGTTTATGAAAAAGCTTGAGGTCAAGTATCGCACGCGGCATTTATGTGCGACTACCCGTGCGCCGCAAAAAAGTTGTCGGATGGTCGAAGAAGAAGTACAATTCGACCCCTAGTCGGGGGAATGGACGGATGTGCTCGCCTACATCATCATTGCTCGTCCTAGATGATGGTGCCGCTACACGCATGTTGAAGACATTATATTAATTGGAAACATAACAACAGATAATCAACAACCACAAAGTACGGAAGAAAATAATCGAAAGCGGCGAGTACGCTGTGGTGTTGGTGTCTCTCGGGCAGGTGATGAAATCCATGGCGGCGAAGGGGCGGAAGCTCATCAGCGGCGACGCGGGTGCCAAGCTAATGCAAGAGCTTATCCCTACCTCCGGCATGAGTTCTCGTGGGGGATAACAAGAGGCCGACTTACTTTATGCATGACTCGTACGCCACATCGTCGTGTGAACTCATGTGGGCTCGAAGGTTTCAATCCCTTGGCGTCGTCTACGAGGAGATGTGTCCGGTTGGGGAAGGCGCCGTGTTGATCTTGGTCCCAACGGTATTCATCTGTCTTTGCAGAAGGTCCAGCGAGCTCTCTTCGTGGTGATTTGCAACGACATCATCACGTAACATGCATGCATGTCGGTCACAAAACGAACGTTTTGTGTGTTTGGGTATTCCTCAAGCTGTGCAAATTGGCGTTGTTGATATGCATACATATATATGCGAAAAATGATTCGACAGCCTTATTTCAAGCGGGGTTGAGGTGTAAAGTGCATATTTGTATGTAGTGGCATTCGTTGTGGAATGTATGGTATTTATCGCCGCCACGTACAGTAGTAGCACATTGCTGCTGGCGACATTCTGCCGTGTACTGTTTTTTGTTCTTGTAGTCATTGTTGTCTTCACATTGAAAACCGTACCGGTCTGTGCTCAGTACCTTGTAACATTCGTACGTACCGGTCCAACGGACGCGGACGCCTTTTCCGTGGTCGCACAGGAAAAAAATAGGAGTTCTACACAGAAAATGTATGGAAAAGCTACTGCTGTATGTACTTAATTAAGGAATAATAAAAGTACTGCACCAGCCATTGCGGAATGACGAGACACAACTTACACCCGCCATCGGCTGGAATCCCTTGGGGGTAGTGTAGACTATTTAGTGCTTCGGCGTGCCCCTACAATGAGGTCCAAACCTCACAACAAGACACGCAGCAGCACTTACACACAGTAGGCCTGGACTCGCAACTCATGGGACCATGGCCGCAATAGGCAACAACACAAGGAATCAGTCAGTCAGATCGTCAGATCTTCATCTTGTCAGATCTGGTGGGGGGGGGCATACCACAATGTAGACAAAGAAACACGGGCAGGGGACAGCAAATCCACCGACATATCTGCGGAGCCCCAGAATGCGGAGGAATTGGTCGTCCAGCATCGTGCAGCCAGCGGTGTACCATAGTAGCGACCAAATCATCTGACATCCTATCTGGACATACAATACAATGGTGAAGCGCGGGTGGAAAGGCATCTTACTCGTGACTACAGCTGTGGTGGGCTTGCTATCGCTGCGCTCGGTTCGTGGAATTGACGAGGCACACGTGCAGATGGAGACGATTGAGGTGAACAACTAAGAATGACACCAGTGCGTAATACCGCTACTTGTAAGTACCATCACACATATGCATCGAATAGCAGTTTCCGCGGGGTCCAAGTCCATCGTTCAGCCAATGATCCTCATATCTCTCGTTTCTTGTAGAGGAAGAAGAAGAAAAATAGGTTTGAGGCTCTGGCTGCAGTATTTGGAGTATTTGCGGAGCCGCTTATAGGCAACGCTAAGCGGGAACACACCCAGACCGCGCCGACTCTATCCTCTCACAAAAGCCGCGTGTGCACGTATGCATAGAACACGCATAGGCCGGGCTTGTGTATCGAAGCTGCAGGTGCCCCCAAGTCTCCAAAACAAAGTGGCAAGGCGGGGGGGTCAACAACGGTGTACTGTTTTTGTTCCGGCCGGTGGTCATTGAACCCATGACAACTTGAACCACTCCAGACTACTTATCCTGAACCCGTCTCCACGCGCGGTCCTCCTTCTTCACATGATCCAAGTCTTGATGTGGATGATGCAACGACAGAGCCGATGGGGAATGGAAACTTGTGACTGCTGCTATATAAGAAATTGGCAAACGAGAGAGTGTCGTATTTCGGGTCTCCCACACTTTTTACAGTTTTGCTAAACCGCCCATACGGCACCCATGGGCACCGAAGTGTCCATGGGCGTAGTGGTGCCTACATGGGCTGCCCATGGGGAATTCCCGCGTGCTGGTTGTATGTGTGTTTTGTGCCTTTGCCTGGCAGCTTATTTCTTACTTCAACTCAATCCGCTGACTCAGCAGTCAATGACAGCAGCCATACTGTTGGGTAACTCGAAGTAGTTATTTCTGGTCGCCGCTGCTGTTGCGGACTATTTAGTTGTGTGCGATGATCTGTCTGTGGCGTTTGGCGGGGGCAGCCGCTGTATTCGCACGTTGCACTCAACCCGAGCGGTGTAGACGCACGAAGGCAAAGAGTGCCCTGGCGATTGGGCACCCCAACCTTGTCCCTTTCGACTTTCCGGGAAGATAGATGGCGGAAAATAGTTGATCCAGGAAATGGTATGTCACATCAGCTCAACGACGATGACTCTTGAACAGACAAGTTTGTTTCTGCTGGGCCCTGTTGCTTACTCTGGGAGTCAGCCTTGCGCGTACGGCGTGTATTGCGAAGGCGCCATCAACATTGTTGCATGGCTGATTGCTGCTGCCCGTCGAACTCTGCTCGCTTCCCCGGCGCTGCTCCACTTTGCAGGAAGGATCGATCGACGTTGTCGGCACCCAAGTCAGCTTCTTGGGGAACCTCGGGAGCTCTCCTTCCAGCCCAACAGGGGAAGAGGCGGGCGCGGTGCGCAACGTCCTGTTGCTGCACGGCGCCAAATTCTCGGCTCAGACGTGGCAGGACTTGGGCACCCTTTCGCTCTTGGCTACCAACGGGTTCCGGGTGGCTGCTGTCAACTTGCCCACCCGGGTAACGTGAGTTCATACAGCACGTGGTTGCCCGGTCGCTTGGTGTGTTCGTGCCTCTTGATCTAGTGCGGTTGGGATAATCGTTTGGTCGGGTCTGATCGCCGACCCCTTCCTGCACTCGTTGCTACTGCTGTCAGGAGTTAGCTCGTGGCTTGGTGATACATTTGTGCCGCTATTGTAGGGGGTAAGCTTCACAACTTTGGGATATATCCTTGGTCGCCATGAAGTAGTGGGGTATTGGAATACAATTTTCATTGATTTGGATCACTTTTTGAAGACGCACAACGAAAAGTACGCTGAGCATCGTACTCTCTGCCTCCTGTCTCCCTCCTCATCTGCGCCTACCTGCCTTCTGCTGGGCGGTATCCCTCGCGGGACGTTCGTAAATCACGCTCCCTGTGGTAGTGGGTTTTTGTGTCTGTCGTCGTTTTTTTTCAAGTCATCATCAACCCCCAGAGACATGGAACGACGTGGTTGACGTGGTGGTCCTTCCCAAGGCGGCTAGGAAATCGAACAGCGGGATACCTGTAGAAAATAATTATTGCTAGACTTTTTCCGTCTGTACGGTTGACTTTTCTGTCCAGGACTTCACCGCGAGACGAGCTTCTGGAGCTGATATGCAGCGGCCTCGGCATGGGAGTCGATTCGCCAGCCGTCATTGTGTCTCCGTCCATGAGCGGCTCCTTTTCGGTGCCGCTGCTTCTCAGCAAGCCGGTATGGAGCTCCCCCGTTACATTCGCAACCGGCAACGGGGCAACCTTTTGTCGTGCCCGCTGCTGATGAACTGTATATGGTGCAAGACGTAATCCATTGCCTTCGAAGAAGTAAACCCATGTGTGGAGCGTTTCGAAGGATCTTTGGACACTGTAGCTGATCAAGCGATGTCTTTGCTCCTTGCACTATTGCGCCACACCTTTTCCGCGCCGTCTAGCGTGGGCGATGGAAGCCCATGTGGAGCGCTCACCCTTTGGACTTAATTTTGTCCTTCGCGGAAACGTTGTTGCTGTAGGTGTTGTTTGTCTTTTTCGAACCCGCACCAAACCTCACTGAATCGATTATCTCATGCACGTATGCACAGCAATTTCAAGTGTGTTTTTTCCCAAAACATGGAAGCCTACGGTCTCCAAAGGGACCCACCGAACCGCTCCGTTGAGAATAGTGTGACATTCAATACACCACCCGCCATATTACTCCACCACCCGCCCTGTATCCGTGATACGTCGTAAACAGTTATAATAGTTAGATGACTAGGGTATACAACAGCGACCCCCCCCTTCCCCCCCCCCTTTCGACAGGAACTGTTCGCCGGCTACGTTCCTGTCGCGCCGGGTCAGGCCCTCTCCTACACGGCCGAGGATTTTGCGGCGGTAACCGGGGTGCCCGCTCTGATCGTCTACGGGGAGCTGGATAGAATGGGGTCCAGGGCATCTTCGCTGTTGAGCTCCATCCCTGGCTCACGCGTGCTGATGGTCCCCGGCGCCAGCCACCCTTGCTATATCGACGAACCCGACATGTTCCACGAGTCGTTGCTGAGCTTCTTGAACGAGGATGCTCATTTTTCCAGAGCGAGGTGACAAGCGGTTGGTGAAGGTTGTGCTACTGTCTCTTTGATGTGCTCGTATAGGTGGTCAGCCACGTTGGAGCGGGTGATTTATCTGGGATCTGTCGTGTCCTGCAGCTGTTGTTTCATCTTAAGCTTTCTTTTACTCTTTGGTTCCCCGCACGAGGAGAAAGCTTTTGGGCTCCATGCGTGTTGCGGGAGAAAACTGATTTATGGCACATGTAGCCTTTTGGAGCTGCAATCCTGTTTGTGGGCTGTATTCTTAATGTTCGTTTGATATGCTTGTCTGGCCGGGGGGCGGGGGAAGTACTCATGTTTTGCTTGCCTTAGTTGTTCGACTATTGAGCACTCGTCCTCGAGAGGACGGAGGATTGTTCCCACAAGACCAATCACCAATGGGCAATCGTTCCTCCCTACCTCGCCAAAAGAAGGGGGGGTATACCCGTCGGTGTTTGTGAGTGGTCTTTGTGTTCGACGGGGGGTTTGCTCGATGTAAGTCAGCGTCGTTAGTTCTTTTGGCTTGCCGGCGAGAACATGACGGTACGGAGTTGTATATATTCTTGACCAAAAGAAAGACAGGCGTTGGCGGTTTTTCCTGACTTGAGTCCAGAATTATTTTGTCGTTAAAGGATTCGGAGGAATGACAACATCGACAGACACACATAGGAAGAAATCATTACCCCCCTCCTCGGATAGGAAAGCAGATCAGTGTTGCTTCACTACACATGCATTCTTTCGACCGCTTCCACCCAATGGATATCGATTGAATGAAGTCAAGAAGTCGCGCGGATCGGCTGTAGACGATTGCTTGCCCCTCCGCTCAGGGTTTGCTCTCGGATGTCTCTCCACCGACAGAGAATGAACCTGGACACGACCAAAGCTGACGAAACTAACAGCGTGTTCTTGGAGCAAACCTGCCTTGAATGGAAAGCTTTCACAAGGCTAATGTGGTCATGCTAGTGGGAACCTACCCTGCTGGCCACATTTTGTAATACTGGCCACACTCTGAACGGTACTCCTCTTTCCTATATGATCGGCACCGCGAGAGCTGTCATTAACCTGAGCAGCACCGCGATGTGTCTGTTCGAAGAGCGTGCTCATAAAAGGAAAAAGAGGAAAACCGTCGTGGCAGAGAATGAAACCATCTACGCAAGGTGTGTGCTTTGCTCTCTCCACGAGGTAAGAATTCTGCTGCCTCAAGGAAAGCTTGGGTGAGTTCCGCCCCTGCACCAAGACCATGGCTGTTCCTACACCATGTCAGCAAGGGAGTGGATAAAAGGAGCGACTCAAGAGGTATTTCAAACATTTCACAACGGGTAAGACAAATTCAGGCAAAAGGGATGTTTCCGCAAGCATTTTTTTTTTTATTGTTCACTTCAAATCAGCGCTCACAACACTTGTGTCGTTTGCTCCAAACCGTGGTTGGTCACACAGAAGGTTTCTCCCTGAGTCCCCCTTTCCACCCCTCCTGATGTGCTCTTCCTTCGATTTTTAATGCGAGTAGAGTGCAGCACTGTCTTCCCTCTGTGTGCACACGAACTACAGTAGCGCTTTCCACCCAGGCGAGGCACGCAAGCGAGAGAAAAACTCACTCTGCAAGAAAAGCTCGCTTACGCCGGGATTCGAACGCCTGACCCTGACCACTAGAAGGTTTTCGATGGTATCAACTACACTACCGGGGCGACCGGGTTGCATGCTGCGGACGAAAGAGACGCGCTTGTCAAAGTTGCCATCGCCGCGGAAAACCGGACACGAAAAGGGCGAACCAGAGCGCTCAGGACGAGTCATTTCCGTATGACGAACGAGATCGTGATTCGACGCGAATCACCATCTGGTTCGGCAGTCAAGCGGACCCGTCATCGCTCCTCGGATCGCTCTCATCATACAAGGTTCACCGCTGCCAGGGCAACAAAGTGTGCCAAAGGAATCAAAGTCGCCCCGGAAGTCTAGTGGTTAACCTCGTACACCTAGTACCAGTAGCAGGTTAAAGGATTTTTTCTCCCTGGAGTGGGCAAGCAATATTGCAGTTCGTGGCGGAACCGGGAAAATCGTGACAATAAACACTTAGACTTCACGGTCGACGAGGGGAAGGGATGGTTCAACCCTCCTCGCAATAAAACTAAGGCTAGCACCTCAGGCGGTGAGGCACAAACAACGTAATGAAATGAATCCTGCATGACCCCATCTACATAGCACGCCAAACAAACGCACCGAAAGGCGCGTAGACTAGATGGGACGAGCACACACACGACGAAAACCAGAAACACAAGCTATTCCACCACACGCACAACGCAAGGGCAGCGGCCATGTCAAGCTGACCTGCAGACACAACTAGAATAGATTACGCCTCGCCCGCGTTCTTGAAGGCCGTGTGGAGGGCGTCGTTCTCGCGGACCCTAAACTGCATCGTGCGCGTCTCGTAAAAGTAGCTGTCTCGCTCGAGGTTTTGGATTATGTCTACAAGTAGGTGGGCTCGCTCCGCCTCCACCCCGATCGTGTTGTGTAACCTGAGCAGCAGCAGCAGCGGCAGCGGCAGCGGCGGCGGCGGCGGCGGCAGTGGGAGGGCGGTGCAGGCGAAAGGGGACAGCGACGGGAAGCGGCGTGAGGTTAAGGCTCAACACCTCCAGCGTCCGCAAGGGTCGAGCGTACGATGCGTTTCAAGCACGGCTCGACAAAACAGCCTGTTCGTACTTAAACGTACCGCGAAACACACAAAACACCCAACCCAGCCTCATCGGCCAGCCGGTAGGAGTCCTCAAAAAATCCTTGCAGCCTAGTAATAGAATCAAGCGCGAAAGCACGGGGTGCACCCAAAGCTCTGTTTCTCCCACCAACTGCCGGGGAATAAACGATGACGGCACTACATTACACTACTCGCCTGGTAAAGTGCACGTGGAAATGAAAGAACTGCGGCATGTAGTGCACGAAGACTCGCAGCTGGTCCTCGGGCACCCCGTAGACCGCCTCGATAGTTTCCACACCGCGCCTGGATCAATCAAGGTCGGCGGTGCATCGTGGTGAGGCATGCGGGGTGGTACAATGCTGGTAAGAAAAAGGAACGATAAAAGAGGCAAGAGAGGGTTGTGTGTCGAGTCTTGCAACTACGCACCATCCCATCGTCGACACCCAAACAAAAAAAAACTGGCGGGTCTCGCAATGTCATCAACATAAAGAACCAAAATGATCCTATCACACATCATCACCGCGCTTGAGTCTCACGGCGGAGAGAAGCATCACCGCCAAGAGATGCCGTCCGGACGAGAATACCAGAGGAAGGCGTCGAGTCCAATAAAAACGAAAAGGGCAAGCGACCGCGCGGCGCACCACAAAAACCTCCCCACCCACCAAACAACGCCTCAAAACCCGGATCCTTACCCGTAAATCTCCTTGAGCATGGGGACGTGCTTTGCGCGAAGGTCTCTCAGCGTCCGGATGCCTCGCTGGTGGCTGATTGCCAAGCAGTAGAGCTCCCCCACGCTTGGGTGCCCCTCCCACTCATGCCGAGGCACGGTGGAGATGTCGGGGTGCGTCCGCCATTTGGTGTCAATGTTCAGGAGGAACCCGTGCTCCTGACGAGGACGGACGGCGGAGGTAGTCCGGGGTGATGACGAGGCGGATGGGATGGGGGGTGAGGGACGAAACAACGAGCGAGAGAAAGTGCGAGGCAAAAAAATTTAACGAACAAAAACAATAACCAAAACACGTGGATACCTTCCCCCCCCCGGCCTGCCGACTTCCCCCCAACGCCTACACACCGGGTCTTCGTCCTCGTACAGAACGCGCTCGGCCTCCTTGTCCTTGGAGAGCACGTTGAACAGCCAGGACAGGGACTTGCCGTCCCCCACGATCCTGTCCATGTGCGGGCCGGTTACGGAGGCGTGCATCTCTGCGGTTTCCGTGAGCATCGCGGTAGTCACGGGACGGTTGCGGTTGACCGTGCGCTCCGAGGCCGGTGCCACAACCTCAAGCGAGTAGCTGTTTCCTGGTGGTGGGCGGGGGCCGTGGGGGGGGGAAGTTGTTGTCGCTTCTCCTGGGACAGTTGTTGGGTGCGGCAATAGCGTGACGTAGAAAAGTGGTCACCCTAACCCTCGGTAATAACTAGAAAACCAGCCACAGGCATGGATACCGCATCACCGACGGAGCAAATAACGTACCGCATTCTGTGGCGATGTGGAGGGTCTTTACCGTCGTCTTTCGCACCCCCCTGTTCAAGACGCATATATACGCACATCATCACAACACATGAGAGTCATTTGGGTCTGGTTGCGATGCACGAGGTGCTCCCATCTAACCCGTAGAGGAGCATGGTCTGCCGCTGCTGCTGCACCGTGCTGGTTGCAACCGCGTGGTCTTCAAAAACGCAAGTTAGGTTGGTCGATAGCACCCAAAATCGCGTGAAGATATGTACAGCCAGCACAAGCATGTGTCCGCCTCGTCCATCGGGAAAAAACTGCCCGCATCGTCACGCCGCATCATGTGAAAAATTGCAGGAATAATGGATTCACACCGTTCGACAGCTGCCATTAGACTGACCGCATATCGTCGAGGGTTGTTCGTGTACCAAATTTCTTCGGAGAAATGATACACAGATGGTGACCAACAAGTAGTACCTTCGAGGCCGCGCAGGAAGGTGTGCCACAGCGACATGGAGCAGTTGTAGAAGGCGTACTCGGCGCCGCTCTCGCTTTTCAGCCGGACACTCAGCCGACTAAGGTTGTCCTTGAGCCCTGTCGTCGTTGTTGTCGTTGAGCGGCGGCAGGGTGGTGTTGGCGATTAACAACAAACGAGATTTTACAGTGGGAGCAGCACTTTGGAGACGGCGGCGGTGGCTGATTGTCTTCCGCAAAAGCGCAACACGGGCTAGGCCAAAAGGGAACGAAATACTGGTAGGTTCAAGCTGAGCGGTAGCCACGTTGCGCACGTGACCACCAAGAACTTGAGCCTCTTCCCTCACCATATGCTATCGTCATATTGTTTGCCACACGAACAGCAAAGTCTGCGTGTGTGTATGTCTATGCGCTTCGGCAGGTGCCATATGCAGCACGCACCGAGCCAAGCGCAGTAGACATGAACAACCATGCCATGTGGTGTAGCCAGGTCTGGCACTGCAATATAATTGGAACAGAGTTGCGACGAGACTCACCGCTCAACGACAGCGGCTTGGCGATGAGCTTGACAAGGGCAACCTCGCCTTCCTTCTGCCATGCGAAACGGCCCAGAAAAGTGACCACACGGCCGTCGTCCTGTTCTCGGGCGGGCGAATTGAGCGATGCAGTCGGTGGGAGATATTGAGGCGGTGCGGAGAAGGGGGGGCGGTGGTACTCGTGTAAACGCATGTAAACCATAGGCTTTGCATCCCTACAATGCCGGGACGGAGCGATATGCCGAGTTTTCGCTGGCCAAGGGGGGAGGGGTGGGGGGGGTAAGAAGAGTGGATGCGACCTGCCCAAAAGGCGAGCAAGTTGTACTGTAGTTGGAGACCACATGTAGTATCCGTGGTGGTGGATGAAAGGGCGATGCGTTAAAGGGAAAGTCCAGCGCGTGTGTGCGTTGAAGTTTGTTTTGCCAAGCTCACCCACACGGTAAACATGTGCAATGTAAACCACATCCCGTTCGACTGTGGGTATATCTCGAATGGGTAGTCTTTCTGTGTGTGTTTTTATTATTCCTTAATGTAAACCATGCGCGCAGGGTAAAATTTACGCGTAACTTTAAATCCTACAGTCCATTCTTAGAAAATCCATTCTATGCGTATGCATACGTACAGCAGTGATGTGGGCAGCATACGAAGTTAATTAATTCTCTTCGTGGGTGTTCTCGTGTGTGCAGATGCCACACGCATGGCGGCACAGCAGTAGTGTTGCTGTGGGGAAGACAACATCACCTACTTCGGACTGGACAGCAAATGCAAGCATTCATCATCACGAGGTTTGGTGCTCTGCTCGCTGCGCGCTGTCTCGGCCTCGGTCGCACCGCACCGCGCCGTCCGTACCTCATCCTTCAGGACTTCCTCTGGCTCGAAGCCGCGTAGAGACCGAATGCCTGCCAGAGGGGACGTGCCGCTCTTCCTTCCGCGGCGCGCGATAGCCCAGCATGCCACGGCCACTCCGATGGCGAGCAAGACACCGGCGGCGGCTGCCTGAAGGTCGGGTGAAGATCTTTCCATGCCTCTCACCCAGCAAGAGCCAGCCACAGCTTTGCACAGCAACCACGCACCGAGATGTCTCTGGCGAAAATGGCTCCCGTATTATCCGGAAAACTGTTGGAGTCGAACAAGGGTATGACTAACACCACTACTGTGCGTAGAGAAGCTGTGCTGAGCAAAGAGAGCGGCGGCAGTGACAATAAGCAGTAAGAGATGTGAGCGGAGAACAACGGGGGGAGACGCGCGAAAAAGAGAAGGATAACGGCATGGGCATACCCTGTAGATCTTCCTTGCGATGCCCCCTTCGATAGCCCACCCTCCCACACACGAGTGCGGGTGTATGCCGCGCTCACAAGCACGCAGACGTGTTCGCGTGCCTCTACATGATGAGGCTAAGGGCGGCGTTAGGCGGATTAGTAGCAGTTGTCGCGCTGCTCGTGTTCTTGGGCTTGAGGTCACAGGTGCGGTTCAGCGTGTGGGAAACCCAGAGGGACGGCGCGGCTGCTGAGTGTCTTCTGAAAAAATTCTCCTTCTGAGTTCGTCCGCGACGGGTCACGGACTGCTGTAGATCACATGTAGCATATCAGTGCAAGTCTCCTCCAGCCTGCAGCACCGCGTACCCGGCGGGAAAATGTGCTTGACACCTGCGTTTGACTTTTTCTGCCGGGAGGTGTGTTTTGCAACAAGACCTGCGGAGAGATGAGCAATGTAACGTTTTGTTTGTGATCCGCGGTGTTCCCTCTTTTGGTCGTGTTACTTGCCCGCACTGCCCTCTTTCTGCCCTGGGTGGGGGATAAGGTGGCCCTCCTCGAGTTCGACCAACCAGCAGGCGTTTCTATCTACAGTGGATACAAGACCGAGGTGCGGGCGCTGCTGTTCGCTTTTTTTTTCTTCTGTGCATGCGTTGCAGGCTGCTTCTCTACAGACCACAGCAGCAGCACTACTCCTATTTCGCCGCCCCAACAGATGAGTCTGCAAGGACCAATTTCTGTGACAACAGACAACAGTTGCTGGCAGGCACACACATTTCACGCTAAGAAAAACGGCGGGAGAGGTGCACCGCATGTTTGCAGCGTTGGATGGTTGGACTCTAACCACTCTTGCTCAGAGCAACCAAGCAACATCAGACCTGTTCTGGAGGTTTTTAGCGGAATGTCCGCAGGTCCTCACTCGTGTGTGGGTGGTATCATCTCCGTAGTGAAGCTGCTGCTGTCGCCGGTTACATCGACGGTTGTCGGTGGGATGTCGTCTGTAACGGCACCCGACCGGTTTGTAGGGAGTTGTCTTCGTTGGCACAGCTAATCACCGGGTTAATTCCCAGGCACCGTGGAGGGTATGACTCCATAGTAATGGGGAAGGAATGTGGAAGTGACAATTAACAGGGTCCCATTTCCCTTACTTGTACGTCTGTCGAGGACTACAGATAATAGAACACGATTTCCCCTCCGCAAATTGTCTGGTGGCGGGCACCAACTACAGTTGCACAGCAGAATATTTCTCTCTTTGGCAGTAGTCTTTATTTATCAGGTGTCCGTGGTGGTCTATGTAGTGGTTAAACTGCACAACTCCCGCGGCAGGTTGTGGGGTTTGATTTTCTCTGTGGAGGTTTTCTTTCCGCGGAATTTATTTCCAGCAACCGTCGTGAGTAAACAAACTTTAACTTTCGGCTTCACTGTCGACGAGGGAAAGGGATGTGAACATGTGAACCCTTGTCGCGATAAAAACCAAGGCAAACACCGACCGCAGGGGGGAAGGTGGGGCACTAAAACAAACAAAAAATGCAAAAGCTCCTGTGTCACCTTCCTCTTGTGTGGCCCCTGCTGATGCGTCAGATATATACGCCGAAAGGCTTACTCCAAATATAGACTGGCGCCAGATTAGATGGTACGAAAACACACACAGGCAACGAGCAAGTTACACATATATTGAGCACAGCCTTGTGCCGTGCGGTAACCAGACAACTGCACAGCTCATGAGGTACGTGGTGTATATCTACTGACTTGTAGTTAGGCTCGTGGCGCGAAATGCAGCGCTACTACTGCTGTGGTGTAAGTACCACCAACAGGCACGAGACGGAAAAGTTGCCCCTCCATAGCTTGTTTTGGGATCGTTGCCCAAAGTCCAGATTATCACGACAGCACGAAAACATCATGCGGTGTCGTATGCGTACGATTGTGTGAAAAAAAATTACGGAACAGATGGCAACAACGAAGCATAGAAATCTGTGTGCTTGTTTTTGTTGTTTCGTGTTCTTCGCCCCCCACCATTTGTAGGTGGAAAGCCGAATCGAATCCGCGTGCTTTCCAACCACCAAAGTCAGACATCCCACCGCGGCACTACTGTTATCATGCGAAACGAGGGAAGCGCCCTCGACAGGTGTTGGGGCGATGTGACCATTTTTAGAGACGTCATCTCCACACAACTAACTGGTTTAGGAGCGCAAATGGTTGTCTTGGATCGATACGATAGCGAAAATATTTTTTGATCCACCTTTGGCAAAGCAGGAAGGAAACGATTGGCCACTTGTGATCGGTCCTGTGGCAACAAGGCTGCGACCGGCGCGTGGTCAATAATCTAACAACTGATGCATGGAAAACATGAGTACGCTCCCCCCCCCCCCCCCCTCCCCATCATCACACACGCGAGATACAAAGCTACCTTGAGGTTCTGAAGCATGACCCTGCATTCCCTGTGTAGTTGGCGAAAGAGTCGTCGGGTGTTCCAAGTGTTTCCGTGGCTTGAACGAAACGACCGGTATGGGCATCAATGGTGACGGCAGTGTCTTGAGTCGCGTCGCATCGTGAAGAGCGCTTCTGGCCCGTTACCACGCGTAGCGGCTGGGCAAAGCTTCCCTTTCCTCTCTTCGGTATTAAGCACAGAGCGAGAGCGCATACCTAGCGGAACCACGGAATTAAGGCCAGAGAGCGGCAGCAGCACTATGAATGTCTTTCGACGCGCCACACCACTGAGGCACAAGGATAAGCCTTAGAGTGGCGATTTTTGCTCACACTACTGCTGTACGAGGGTTTAGTGGTGCAGCAGTTTCGTGTGAACAACACGTTGACCGCTGCTGGTTGTTCGAGGTACGAAGATCCCCCCTGAGTCGTCCCCTGTCTGACGGCCGGTGCTGCCGCCTACTTTGCTGTGTTGACCGTCTTCTCCGTTTGCACTATCCTACGCGTTTCCTAGCAGAAGTACTCGGGCTGGAAGCTGGCCGACGACAACTTCAAGCACCACGTCGACCCGCAGAAGGCCCGTGTGGTTTTCTACATCATGGTGGCCAACCTCCAAGAGCTTCCCGGGCTGGACGCTCTCCTTCGCACCCTCTATCACGTCGACCACTTTTTTCTGGTGCATTTGGACGTGAAGGTACGCTTTCGTGCCCTCTTTCGATCTCTCTCTCTCTCTCTCTCTCTCTCTCTCTCTCTCTCTCTCTCTCTCTCTCTCTCTCTCTCGTTGGCGTCGCCGTGGTAAGCTGGGAAAGAGCTACCTGGGCTGTGATGATCGCAAGAACCTATTCGTGTGTGTTCTCATGGGGGTGGATTGGAACAGGCCTCTTTTCCATTTTCTTTGCCTCCGCCCACCCGTATCGGTGGGTAGTAGGCCTCTCTCTCTACCCCTTCACCTGGTTATTTCAGTCTGTTAGACTCTGGTGGCCGGCCAGGTCCCGCGAAGAAATCTTGTCTGTGGACCCCCCCACACACACACCCCCACACCCGCCGTAGGACATACTGGGAACGGCCTGCTTGCCTTAGAATGTCGAGAGAAGGTGTCGAGTCGACGAACTGCGCCATGGTTTCCACTCCGCTAGTCCCTCCTCCTTAACCAGCACACGCGGCATACAGCAGTATTCGAGACACTCTCTGCTGTCGTCTGGTTGCGGCTCCGCCTTTGTTTTGATGGGTCCCGCTTTCTCTTATCGCTGCAGGCGTCAGCGCAGGCCCGCCAGGGGGTGGAGAGCCGCATCGAGCGAGTGCTCGACGAGAGAGGCAACGGAGAGCGAAACGTGCGCTTCGTGTCCCCGGCCATGCCCATCACGTGGGGGGGTGAGTGACCCCAAAGGCTGCGTACGCACCACGGCCAACGCGGGAGGGGGGGGGCGATCGGCGGCGGTGGCGACATGCTGGTTCCGTTGCTCGCGGTACTTTGCCATGCATGTCTTTTCGGTAGGAAATGTCGTAACCACGATCGTTTCTAGGGCAGCTGCTCCCAACGTGGAGGTTGGGGGTGTGGAGGAGGGGTTTTTGAGGGGGAGGGCACAACACGGAGGTGGAGTGCGCACACGAGTGTGTTTTGGTTGTGGATGTTGCATCTGGGGTTTCGTATGTGGGTTGGTAGGAAAATGCCGGCTTTATGCGTCCTGGATGGACGAAAGCTCTGGGATCTAGATCATGTTGGAATACTGCAGATGTACCACTCACTTTCGGCCATCGTCTACCACCGGCTCTTGACGACTCTGCCGTTTTTCGATATTAAATAGTTCGATCCAAAGACGAGAACGATCATCCCTTCACCTCTCTCTCTCTCTCTCTCTCTCTCTCTCTCTCTCTCCAGTGTGTCGTATTTTTCTCTCTCCTCACCCCACCTAATCCCCACCTCTCGCGGCTATCCCCTTGCCTTTACCCCCCCCCGTTCTCCTCTTCTCTCTTGACACGGTAATGTTTCTCCCGGGCAGGCTTCACAATGACGCTGAACGCTGTGTACGGACTGACGCAAGCTCTGCACTGGAACACCAAGTGGGACTACTTCATCAACTTGAGCGCGTCCGACCTCCCTCTGTTGAAAGCGGGGAGAGAACCTCCCCCCCCCCCCCGCGATCACACGACAACCGTCGAGCACGGAATGCTAGCCACCTTCCCGACCCCTGGATAGCTAGCGATCGTGGACAAGTTGGTGGTGAAGAATTTCGCGGTGCGATCTTTCCTATCAGTCTTGCTGTAGTCGTGCTCGCCTATCGTGCTGTAACCGTGCACTCTCCCCAGGTGCGGCAGGAGGCTCGACAAGACATTGTAAGGGGTCGTCTTGCGTCTGTTTTACGTCAGCCTTTGTTTTGCGAGAGGGTGACTCATTTTTTTTTTTCCAAAAGTTGTTCACCACTCGAGCGAACCGATTGAGGGAAAAACCCAGCGGGAGAAGTGTTGGTGTGTTGCCGTAGTGGCATTTGTCCTGTTGTGCGTTGGTTTGTACCGGTGCTTCTTGTGTGATGTTTCTGAAAGTATGAGATATGCGGATCATCGTCGTGCTTTTTTTGTTTGTCAAACGAAGACACAGAGCTAGTTCCACTTCCCCCGCCGTCGTCTTTGGGGGGAAGGGTTATCTCGAGTGTATTCGCAATCACGATATCGTTGATCGCAACAAGATTTGACATGCCGTCCTGGCTTTTATACGTGCTGTGGGCATCCGACCCTGTTACGGTTATCGTGCTACTGCGACCCCCTTTTGTGTGCCACCAGGCGCACCATCTCCCCGATTTGTTTGTCCGGCATGCCTTTGTTCGTCGTGGTCTGATATCTCGTTGCTACTAATTTTCAAATCTGCTGTTGTGTTGTTGGTGCTGGTGATTAAGGACGAGATTGCGGGGATCCTTGGGGAGCACAAAGCCGGCAACACTTCCTTCATCACCGGTTTCAAGTATGAACCATCTTGGGAGGGCTACAAGTTTGTCGACAGGTGCATAGACTCATGCCACGCCGGGTTTGTGCTTGGGGGAGTTTTTTAGAGCAAGGGGTGGGGGGGCGTGGATGCCGAAACTTGGAAACCCCGAAGCCTTTTCTATTTGCTTCATTTTTCTCACTGGAAAGGCTTATGTTTGCATGCCCAAGGCTTATGTTTGCATGTCCCTCTAACTGCCGTGACCTTGAGTTGGAGTCGTGTCTGACACGCAGAGGCGACAAATCAGATAGGAAGGTGTCAAGATCCGTTTTTCAGTGTCTTCTGTTTTTGGGCACATACCTTGGTTTTCGTAGTTTATGCTGTCCTCTCGGCTTGTGCGCTGCTGCATGTATGTGTGATTTATTCGTAACTCGGATGTGTTGATGGGCTAAGGTTTTGCCCCTTGCATCTTTTGTATGTGTGCATGTGTTATTTCTCTTTCGCGCCAACAGGCGAGAGATGTTTGCCGAAGACGAGGCCGTGATGCGAAACACGGGCCGCGAGAAGCGGTGGCCCTGGGCCATCCTAGACGCCCACAAGGAGATGCTCCGGCGGCCGATGCCCAACATCTTCACCGTCCACAAGGTGCGCTTCAATGACGTCTCCAAAGACATTGAGACCCTCGCTGCCGGACAAGTTTGAGTTGTCATATTTTCGTGGGTGAAAAACGGTGTCAAGACAGCACGAGGACAGCCCTTGTCGGCACGTTTCCGGCGCCATGAGAAGAGGATCGAATAACCGTTTGTTATTTGGGGGGAGTTGAGCGTAGATCAATCGCAGTCGCCAAGATGATGTTGGCGACACGTGCTGAACGTGGTTGAAGTTGGGCGAAAGAGGGTGCAACATGTGTGCGTATGGTATGCAGGGGGGTGTTCATGGTTGATGCGTGTGGGTGGTTACGATCAAGACTCCGATTTGCGCCCCCTTCTTGGGTGCTTCCGCTACGCTTCTTCTAGGGTGGAAATACAGTGGCGGGCTGAGTCCCAGGCCCTGAGTTTGTTTGCGACAACTCCCCCCTGCGTTCATGATATCTACAATCTACAGCAGGGATCCCTCTGTACGGCCAGTAAAATCACGTGACACAGATGGAATATGCAAGGTGTTCTCATACTCGAGTAGTACCAAAATAATCAAGGTTGTCGTATCTGTACATTACCAGGTTGCCCCGTGTAAGGCCGGCCTTGTCCCTTGGCACTCATGCGACCTTATATAGACTGCTGTACGTTGTTTCATGCCCAGCCACCTACTGGTACCTCTCTGGCGCGCAGTACTGCACGATACCGAGGGGGATAAACGGAATTGGAGACTTGCCGCGCAGGCCGCACGGTGTTGCGAAGCCGCCTTCCTCATATAGACAACGCCCAACTCGAGTCCTCGCGCACCACACTTGCATTTCGCACCAAGTACCCAGCCGCCAAGGTAGTAGCCCACTAGTAGACTGCTGCTGCCGAATGTAGTGCTGACCAATCGGAAGGCTGTGGTAGATAGACGGCTACGGCTAGGATTAACGAACCAGGCGCAGCCCGGCGATGGAGGGTGAGACAGATGGCGCCCCACCCACCATTTCGAGAGAGAAAGCATGTATCCGCAATCATGTCAACAACTCCTCTTAGACTTGAGTATACTATACGTTTAAAGACTGAGCAAATACGTTTCGTTATTATTATTTTTTTGACATTTTTGTTGCCCGCCGGTCGCCCCGCTTCGCGACGGCAGGGGGAGTTCTGGGTAATGCTGCACAGGTCCATGGCGGAGTACGTGCACAAGTCGCCGGACAACCAGGCGCGGATGCTGCTCACCTACTCCTCGGGAATGATGGTGAGGGTGGAGATTGGTCGCAACGCTGCTGCAAGCGCGCGGGAGTCATTGGGCTACTCCCGCCGCCGGTGGCGGGAGAACCCCGGGGGAGCTTGAATAACAGCAGTTTTGGGGGGGAGGGGGCAGCCGGTAGTGGGTGGGCGTGGTGGCGATGTTTCGCGATGTGGTGCAGGCGAGCGGACAGAGCGCCAATACGAAAGCGTTATTTAGCTATAGTGTGATGATGGGTGGTTGCGGCAGTGGTTGCTGTCGTCATCATTATTGGTTCTCTACCGCGGGTGCCCGCCCGACAGACAGCAACACGTTTTACTACATACCCCCACCACTCCCGCCCTTTCTTTTGTCTGTCCCAAGGTGTCGGACGAGGAGTTCTTCCAGACCGTGGCGTGCAACCCGTTCTTCCCCCACGACACCCTGCGAGTCCACAACGACAACCTGCGGTTCGTGAACTGGTGGGGCGACCAGGCCAGCCCGGCCATCGTCCCGACGTTTAGGGCGGTGGCGGCGGCGAACAGCGGGGCTCTGTTTGGCCGCAAGTTTTCGTCGAGCACGGAAGAGGGGAGGGATGGGGTACGGTGGGTGGAGAGCTATCTCGCCGAATCTTCTCGGGTAAGGGTGCAATGTAATGGTTTGCGGACACAAATGTATGCTAGTCCTTCACGTTTGTGGCCTCGATTTTGTTGTAACTTGCACGGGTATTGACGGCTGTGGTTTTTAGCGTCCCTAGAACGACTGTTTGACGCTGATAGACTCCATCCAGTGTTCGCGAAACAGAACAGACAGGTGGAGACTATTCCTGGGGAAAGAAAGTGTGCGTGACAACTGTGCGGCTTTTGTTGCTTTTTCGTGGTGGAAAGAACTGGTGAACTGGTTTGTCTTCTCGCAGGTGTTTTTTTCCCTGTATTGTCTCTATTTTTGAGGAGATGGCCCGCACATTTTTCGCGCCCCCCCCCCCCCCTTTTGCACCCTGACTCCCAAAATAAAACACGGGTGGAAAAAATCAAACGGGGGCTGGAGTCCCGCATGAACCCAGCGGGGGAACCCGTAAGCTTTTGCGGGAAGGGGCGAGAAAAAAAACCGCCGGAAGGGTTCTTCGCGGGGGAAGGAAAAAAAAAAGTTGTCCCACCAGGGTTAAAGCCGCAACCGCCGCGCCCAAGGGGGGGAAGGGGAAGGGAAGAAGGGGGGGTAACATGGGAAGAGGGAAAATGG